AGAAGGGCTGAGGGCCTCAGGCTCTCCCCAAGAGACCCCTGCAGCAGCTGAGAAGGCCCTGGAGCAGCCTATTCACTGTGGTCTCAGGATGTCAATGAGGCCCAGCACATCAGCACCAACACCTGGGACTGTCCTCTCCGCGGACCCAGGGATTTCAGAATCCTTTGAGGTGTTTAGGGAGAGCATCAAGGAGCTTTAGAGTAGCCTAGCCTGAGCCAGCGTAGAAGGGCAGTCCACAGCACGTGGAGGAGACCTCCTGACTGCTGCCCCCCAAGAATTTCTTGGCCACCAGAAGAGAAAAGTCTGGATGTAGGGCCCACTCTTGTTGGCTTAGGCCAGGGGAGGGGTCAGTGGGCAGGACACTGCACCCCGGCTTCTCCTTCCCCAGCTGTGCAGGGACACCTACTTGGGGACTCGGGGGGTGGGAGGGCCAGGAGCACCTTTCCAGGACCCTAGTGCTAGACGGGCTGACAGCACATCCTTCCTGCCAGGACCTGTCAGATTCTGTGTATGATGCTGCGCAAATTCAACTTCCCCACCGTGGCTCTGCATTCCATGATGAAACAGGTGAGGCGTTGGGCGGCCCCACAGATCCCCTCACCCGCCAGCCTTGCCCTGGGGACTTCTCCCAGCCTCAGGGCTTTTGCCCAGGCCCTTTCCTCTGCCTGGAACACTCGTTCTGCCATAGTGCTAGACGGGCTGACAGCACATCCTTCCTGCCAGGACCTGTCAGATTCTGTGTATGATGCTGCGCAAATTCAACTTCCCCACCGTGGCTCTGCATTCCATGATGAAACAGGTGAGGCGTTGGGCGGCCCCACAGATCCCCTCACCCGCCAGCCTTGCCCTGGGGACTTCTCCCAGCCTCAGGGCTTTTGCCCAGGCCCTTTCCTCTGCCTGGAACACTCTTTCTGCCACCTGTCTGCCTGCCCCAGTCTGGCCTCCTCAAGGTCATCTCCCTCACTGGACTGTGAGCCACTTGAGGGCGGAGACTGTCCTGGCCTCTGCCCTGTCCCCAGGCCTCACACAGTAAGCGCTCAAACGTTTGTTGAGATGCTACCTCACACCCCGCCCCCGACCCCCAATTCTCTCCCCAATCCGGCACAGAAAGAACGCTTTGCTGCCCTGGCCAAGTTCAAGTCCAGCATCTACCGGATCCTGATCGCGACAGATGTGGCCTCCCGGTGAGCAGCTCCAGGGTACTCCCTTCCCCATGACGCCCCCCACAAAAGGGCCAAAGGGAGGGACTGGCTTCAGGCATGGGTCAGGCAGCCTCAGCTTCACTGCTGAGCGACCTTGGGTGAGTCCCAACCTCAGTTTCCCCACATGGACAGAGGTGCTGACCGACCTCTCTCTCCAGGGGCCTGGACATTCCCACGGTGCAGGTGGTCATCAACCACAACACCCCCGGGCTCCCGAAGATCTACATCCACCGAGTCGGCCGGACAGCCCGTGCAGGTGAGCAGACAGGGCGGGGCAGCCTTTGGCACCCGCCCCTCCTGCCTGCCCACACCACCAGGAGCCAGAGTCACAAGCTGGTGGGACACAGGAGGGCTACAGGCCACAGGTGAAAGACACTAGAGGAAGCACTTGCAAGTTGGGGGAATCGTCCTTTCAAAACCGTAGGTGGGGATGCTCTGTCTTCTCACCCCCAGCAGCACTAACAGTGACACATGCTGTCCCCTGGTGACACGGCACACACTGGCCCCATCCCCACCACTCCCTGTTGCCTCACCCCAGGCCCCTTTACCCGTCAGGACTGCCAATCCATGCCCAGCAGCAAATAGGTGTACGAGTCCTGGTGAGTATGACGCTGCCCTGTGGGATTTGGCATCCAAGTTCAACCCCTCGCTGTGACTCTGGCTAGGAGCCAAAGAGGCATCCTTGTGTCTGCTGCCCAGCCCCACCCAGGAGGGGCACGGAGTCCAGATTTTCTCACACCTGGAGTGGGCAGAGATACGGTTTCTGGGGCCAGACTGGGCCTGGCCCTTCTCTCCTGCCCTGTGGCCTCAGGAAGGTCACATCAGCTCTCTGGGCCCCCACTGCCTCATCCAACAGTGGGTAATAAGAAGGTGACACCTGTTTGGGGCTGCTCCGAGGGTCATGGGCCTGGTCAGCTGCCAGTACTGTTCCAGCACTAGTCACTATCACAGGAACGGGGAATGGAGAAAGTGGTGTGCAGAGATCTGAGCTGAAGGCTGTCTGGGCTTACTGACAGAACTTGGCCTGGGCTCCCTGGCGGCCACACCGAAATGGGAAATCAGCCACATCACCTGTATAAGGCCAAGCTGGCAGGAGAGCTGCCTCCCCCTGGAGTCCTGCAGCTCCCCTGAGACAGACGTGCCTACTACGCAGAGGTCAGGCAGGGTGCTGAGCCCTGACGCCCTGAGCTTCGTTCATTTCCACTCACTCACTCACCCACCGAGCTCCTGTACTGTTCCTCTTGATTGAGAGGAGCCCTGAGCCGCCTGCTGGTCAGGACCTGCTTCTATTGGCCCTTTGTCTTGGCCTCCAGCACACAGCCTGGGTGTGTCCCCACAGGGCGGCAGGGACAGGCCATCACACTGGTGACGCAGTATGACATCCACCTGGTACACGCCATCGAGGAGCAGATCAGTGAGTGGAGGGGCAGAGGAGGGGAGGGGAGGGGAGGCGGGTGCTTCTGGGCGAGATGCCACTCAACCCTATCAGACACCCGCTAGCCTGCTCACATGAGCAGGCTTAAACTGCGCCTTCTTATGCAACCCTCAGAGAAGTTTCTTTTGCCCAGTTGTTGAAACTGAAGCTCTGCAGTGGCCTTCAGCAGCTGAAAGCCACATCTGGTGGGAAGGGACTTTGGTGGTTTCTCAGACCAGAGTGTGTGGGTGGTCCCTGTGGATGAGTCAGAAGCCCCAGGGCTTGGGCCTGGGCATGTTTGAGAAACCCCCTTGGGTGGTTTAATGTGTAGCCAAGACTGAGAACTTCTGGGGCACCTCCAGTCACTGCACAGACTTTCCTAAGATTCAGAAATGTCTTGACTTTAAAGGACACTGTTTCCAGGAAAAAAACAAAAAAAATCCCTAGTCAAATTCATAGTATTGCTAACAAAAAAAGAGTAGTCTGTACCTTCCTTGGGTCTGAAATCTTAGATCTTGCCCACCTGATCCTTATCTGCTATGGTCCTGGATGGCCTTGCATGCCCTGCTACACAGGGAACTCACTACATAATTGAAATACCTCTCCATGTCATGCCTGCCCCCCTGTGACCCTGCTGTCCCCACAGAGAAGAAGCTGGAGGAGTTCTCGGTGGAGGAAGCTGAGGTGCTACAGATCCTCACACAGGTCAACGTGGTGCGGAGGGAGTGTGAGATTGTGAGTGTCGGGGAAGGGGCTGGTCCTCGGGGCCCAGGGTGCTTCCTGCAAGATGGTGACCCCCAAGACGGCCTCTCCCTCCCGCCCCCCAGAAACTGGAGGCAGCCAACTTTGATGAAAAGAAAGAGATTAATAAGCGGAAGCAGATGATCCTGGAGGGGAAGGTGAGGGCTGAGCCGGTGGTGGAGTGGGCGTGGGGCACAAGCTTCCCCGCGGATGATCAGCTTAGCCACCTTCCGGTCCTCCCCATGCCAGGATCCCGACCTGGAGGCCAAGCGCAAGGCCGAGCTGGCCAAAATCAAGCAGAAGAACCGGCGCTTCAAGGAGAAAGTGGAGCAGGCACTGCAGCGGCAGAAGGCCGGCGGGGCTGGCCGCAGGGGGTGTCCATCCAGGGTCCAGCCTGAGGCCTGCTTGTCCCCAGCACCCGCTCAGGGCCCGGCCTGAGTTCCACACGGCCCCCGTCTGCCCAGCCTGGGACGCCTTCTGAAGCTGAAGGTTGGAGGGTCCTCCCCTCAGGATAATCCCTCCTCCTAGTCTGCCCAGTCCCCCTCAGTGGAGCCCACGGACACCCATGTGCGGTGTGCAGCCCCCCACCTGACCCTGCAGCCCCTGGTGGCCCCTCCTCAGAACCTTGGCCAAGAGGCAGGCTGCAGAGGAGGAAAGAAAGCTATGAGGTTGGGCCCAAGTCCACTTACAGTGACCCCAGCCCAGGGTCACCCTGGGGGTGCCATGGGGCCCCAGAGCGAAGGTGTGCCACTTGCAGGAGATGCTCAATAAATGAGTCTTTTGACTTCCACAGTCTGACTCTCGGGGAGCAGGGGCAGAGAGAGGAGGGTATGACTGCCTAAGTCTCCCAGAACACCACTCACCACCCCCCCACCCCCCAGTTCTCCTCTCCTGTGGGGCCAGGCCCAAAGCTTTGAACTGCAGTGCTGACCATTCCAGCCGAGTGACCTTGGGTTGGTGAAGCCCCTTATATGGGCCTTGATTTCTTCATCTGGAAAATGGGCATAGCAACTGCTCTTCTCTGCAAATGCAGATGTTTTGGTGAGATCCCTCCCATGCCCAGTGAACACAGCCATGGGCTAGGACCTTCCCCTCCTGCCCACCTGCTTGCGTTTGGGGTTTGTAGCCAGAGTGAAGTGGTGGGAGGAGTCCTTAACCAGGTGTCCACCTTAGTCCAAACTGGTCCAGACAACACGGGCAGAGCCCAAGAAGATGGGGCAGCAGAGCCATGTGGCCTGGGCATGCCCCTGAGGCTTTCTGAGCCTCCCTCTCATCTCTGAGTGGCTTACCAAACCCTACACAGACTGAGGGCAGCGGGTCCAGTGACGGCGACCAGGTACCTAGGTGCTCACACACCACACACACAGCCACGCTTAGAAATGTAATTTGGGCACCAGCACGTGCCCTGGGGAGTCTAGAAATTCTACACGATGAAGAGCTCAAAAACAGCCCGTGAGCTGTGAACAGCCAGGGCCGGCTTAAGTACTGTGGACAGGCCCTCCCCAGGCTGAGTCGGGCCCCAGTCCCTGCCGGGGGAGTGGCCCACTGTGCCGCCTGCGGCCTGGCCCGTGCCCCAGGCGGGAATCGTTCATGTAAAGCTAGCTCCCGCAGGCTCCTGCTCCCACGTAGACCCAGAGGCTGGACTCAGGGCGTGCCCTCGGCCAGGCGGGCCAGGCCCTCCCGCAGCTCGCTCAGCTCAAACAGCCTGACGTCCAGCAGCTGCGCGGCCCGGCCCACCTCGGCCCGTGCCCGCTCCCGCTCTACCCGTGCCTCCTCCAGGCTGCGCTCCGTTGCCCGCAGCTGGTGCTCCAGCTCCGCGTTTCGGGTCTCCAGTTCCTGCAGGGAGAGGGCAAGCAAGGTTGGGGGCCCCAGCAAGTCTCAAGGGTCCAGCATCTGAATGCTATCCCCACAGCCTCCACTCTGGGCCAAGCCCTCTCTGTCTCCTGGCCTCCTCCCTGCCACCTCTACCCAAGACACTCCTTGGTCCCCTGATTGGAACATCACTGAAATGACCACATTCCTCTTCTGCTCAAGACCCTCGTCACCCATCATGCTGGGAATGAAATCCATACCCCTCCTTGCTCATTCCAACCCAGGCTTGCTGGCTTCCTTGTGGTTCCTTGAACATACTTTCTCCCCACCTCAGGGCCTTTACATATGCTGTGCACTCTGCCCAGGAAACAACAGGGAGCATTCCCCCAACTTCTCTCTCTTTGGGGGCACCAGCTCCTTTAACTTCTCCCTCCTGCTGGACTCACAGGACATGCTTGAAGGTTTCTCAGATAAAGTCTACAGTGAGGGCCAGGCCAGCACACCTGAGTACAAATGCAAGCTCCTGACCTCAGGCCGGGAATGTGTGAGGATTTGATGGGGTCAAGAATGAATATTCAACAGAGACTCAAAAACTGCTTGTTGAATGAATGGAAGGAGATGAAACATTGTACTAATAACCATGTTTTATAAACCACCCACTGATTCAGTCCTTCCAGTCATCCAAATCCTTCACAACCTTAGATGTCTTCCTGACTCCATTTATAGGTGAAGAAACTGAAGCTCAGGGAGGCACACAGCTGCCCAGAACCCACTAGGTAGGGAAGGTGCCAGGTCTGTCCTCTATCAGAGGCTGGCTGCCTTGGGTGGTCACCCCACCCCGCCTCACAGCAACCGCACACACCTGCACTTTCTGCTGTGTCTCCTCACGCTCGGCGCTGTCTGGGGCCTCACGGGGACCACCAGTCTGGCTCTTCAGCGTCTGGATCTCCTAATGGAGAAGTTCCCAGAATCCGTTCTGAGAGTCCTGGCTCCCCCATGGGAGATCAGGGAAGGCAGGGCCCGAGGAAACACAAACGCATACAGACACGCTCACACACCTGGTCCTTAGTTTGCACTAGTGCCTCCAGCTGCTCCAGCGCCTGGCCCGGTCCCTCCTTCTCACTGACTGCGGGTGGCTCAGCGGTGGCAGCCTGGGCCTCCAGCTCAGCCACCTGTGCAGACAGGAAGGTCAGCCCCTGACGCCCCAGCCTGTACTCTCCTGGTCCCTGGGGAATATGCCTGACCAGCCAAGCCCATGACTGGGCACTAACCCCTTCTGGTTGCGGCCACCACCCTGCCTCTGGCAGGTAGGTCTTTAGGGTCTGACAACCCTCTGAGGCTGACATTATTTCAGACCCATACTACAGAACAAGAAACTAAGGCTCAGGGAAGTGATTTGCCGAGATCACACAGCCAGCCAGGGAACCCAGGACAGATAGGAGGCAGGGGCTTCACAGTGGTCCGGGCCACTTGGGGTCTCTGGGAGGGAGGGGCTTCCTCACCCGGTGTCGCAGCCTCTCGGCCTCTGCGCGCTGGGCCTCCAGCTGCTGCCTCCACTGGGCGGCGGCGGCGTTGGCCTCTCGCAGGGCGCCCGCCAACTTGTTGTTACTGTCCTGAAGCGCGAAGAACTCGGCCTCCCACTGCACCTCGCCCACCGAGCTGCGGGGACACTGGAGTCGGCAGAGGGCAGGGCGGGGCCTCACTGGGCCTGAGGCAGGGTGAGGGAGGTGCTGGGCTGGGGGCGGGGTCGTGGGCGGGGCCAAGGTACCTCGGGACTAGGGGTTGGGGACGTCCCGGGGAGGCGGAGTCTTGCCGGGGGTGGGGTCAAAGTAGGCGCTTTGTTGTCAGTTCAGTGAGACACAGTCGGAAGGCCAAGCAGGATCAGCCCAGGGGATGTGGACAGAACAAAGTGGGTGGGGAGGCACCCGTGGGTTTAGAACTAGCCAGGGGAGATGTGGACAGGCCAGGGTTAGCCCCGAGGAATGGATGAGGCAGGAGCGGGGTCGGCTCTGGAAGGGGCATAATCTGGGTGTCTCCTCTCCTACCACAGGCCTTGGGTCCAGTGTCAGATCCCGCCACTTGAACAAGTCCCTACAGTTTCTGAGAACTTCCTCTCCCCTCTTCCCCAACCCTTCGTCCTGCCACGCCCCTGTGCCCCGCCCTACCCCCTCACCCCTCGGACAGCATCTTTCTGAGCCGCTCGCGCTCAGCGGGGCCGGGAGCGTCCGCGCTCTGGCTGCGGAATAGCTTCTCGTCGCCGGGGCCGTTGGAGCTGACGAGGGGGCTCGGGGGCACCTAAGAGCATGGGCAGAAGTGAGGGCACAGTGAGGGCTGTTGCGACGTGGGTCGTGACTGAGGGCAGGAGGTCCTTCCCAGCACTGGGATCTGACTGCTCCTTTCCCCTCCTCACCCACCACCAATGGCTCCCGATGGCCCCTTTCTGGGCCCTGCCCCCCACCTTGCCTGCTGGGCTCTCACCAACCCCCAGGAGCAAACCTGATGCAGGCTAGCCTAAACCCCGGGAGACACTCATAATCTGCAAAGCGGGGAGCAATCTGAAACCTCCATGCTGTTCCCTCAGAGCAATGACCTTCCCTGGGGCCAAATTTCAACATCCATTTAAAATTCCTACAGGAAACGCACTCCATCAGGCTAAATTCATTATGAATCCACCTGCTGCCTGGACCAACCTACTTCTTCATCTCCTTAATCCCTGTGCCCAGCCCTGGGCCTGACACACGGTATGTGGTCAATAAATGATGCTGAGGGACTTCCCTGGTGGTCCAGCGGGTGGGACTCCGTGCTCCCAATGCAGGGGGCCCGGGTTTGATCCCTGGTCAGGGAATAGATCCTGCATGCATGCCACAACTAAGAGTCTGCATGCCACAACTAAGAAGCCCGCATGCTGCAACAAAGATCCCACGAGCCGCAACTAAGACCCGGTGCAGCCAAAATACATAAATAAAGTAAATAATAAATATTTAAACTAAATAACTAAATGATACGAATATGTTAGTGGGGGAAAACACCCAGGGGCAGGTTTTTACTCTGCCGCTCTACTTAGCCATTTCAACTTCCACATTTCAACTCTGCCCTGCGAGTTGGTTTTCTGGCCTTCCTTGATCTGACATTTGGACAGCCTAGGACACGCTCCTATGGCACCCACAGCCCTCTTCCATGGTCCTTGCCATGGATCTAGTTTTACATCATCTGTGAGCATTTGGTCCTGGGAACCGGCACAGCACCTAGACCCCCCAATATCAGTTGAGCTCCTGGCACGCACAGGACAGGGAGTGCTGACCTGGTGGGCAGTGAGCCCCAGGGCTGGACTGGTGAGCTCTCCCCCATCCTGAGATTTCTCCCGTGCCAGCCTTGCTGCTTCCTTCACTTCCTGGAACTTCTCAGCAAACTGAGGAATGGGGGGCAGGAACAGACAGTCAACAAACTCCCAGCCCCCTCCCCCAGGGTCCCACCACATTAGCTCCACCCAGTACCAGCTCTGTCGCTTTGGAAGGAACTTTAGAATTGAGTGCATCCCCTCCTCTCACGAACTGGAAGAGTGGGAAGTAGGCTTGGAAAACGATGCCCAATGAGCAGAGTGGGTATCAGGATGGGGGGTGGGTGGGATGTTCATGGAGGTGTATCACATTGAGCCACCTTGAGAAAGGGACCCCCTTTCCCTCTCAGTCAGGATTATTTCAGCAAGGAGAGCCTCAGGTGGGTGCTAATCTGTCTTTCATTTCCAGCTAGGGTACACTTTCTTTTTTTTTCATTTTAAAATAAATTTCCTTAGCTTGAAAGTAATTTTTTAAAGAAACATATTTACAGACATACAGCCACTTGATTTGTGCAAAGGGGCCAATGCAATTCATTGGGGGTTGGGGGGGGGGTAGATGGTTTTTTCAAAAAATGGCCCAAGAGCAACTGAATACTCATGTGGGAAAAAAAATACTCCTACTTTAAACCTCCGGTAGAAATTAATTCAAAGATCTAAATTTGAAAGGAAAACTAATGCTTCTAGGAGAAAAGCAAAGAAAAGCATCATGAACTCAACAGGATTCAGAGAGCACGAACCATACAGGGAAACAATGGATAAGACAATACTGAACTCTAGAAACAGCAGAGGGTGGAGGGAGGCGATAAAGAAGGTAATATGCCAGGGGTGCGGGGAAGCACCCAGCCCATCCTAGGCACCCAGAGAGGGGCAGGGTGTGTCCGAAATCAGAGCAGGTGGCCAACAGAGCTGGAATGTGAACCAGAAAATCAGGAAGGAGCTACTGGCTTGTCCAATTCTGTAGGCCCATTCTGCAGCTGGAAAGATGGAGGCCCAGCATCGGTCCAGGGTCCCCCAGTGCACCCAAGAGAAGACCCAGCCCCAGCCCCATTCCTCCCACCATGTATCCCTGCGGGCCCACCTGAGTCAGATGCTGCTCAGAAGCAAAGCCAAGGCCATAGACGGTGTTGGCGCGACTGTCTGCCCACTGCCCGAACTTCTGGGAGGTTTTGGTAAATGTCATGTTGGGGGTGACAGTGCTGTTGATGATGGCCTGGGGAAGGCGGTGGGGAGAAAAGTTCCCGGGTGATGGGACTGGTAATAATGAATGTGAAACCCCCAGGGATATAGCTTTGTATCAGCACCTCAGAAGTCCTTGGTCTGAGCCATTTCAGGAGGAAGACTGAGACCCAGATAGACTCAGGGTACTCCCCCGGCCCCCAAGGCACACAGCAAGGAAGCAACTGAACCAGGCCTGTCCCTAGGATCCTTGGCACCTGCCACCCCACCCAAGCCCCACCAGGACCTTGGCACCCCCAAGGCTGATGATTCGGTAGACATTGCGGGTGGCATCGTAAAAGTAGGAGACAGTGAGTGCGTGTTTGCCCGCGGGGATCCAATTCCGCTTGGTGGCCGGGTCGATCTGGAACACGTGTGCCCGTGTGCTGAAGATGGGCTGCTCCCTGCATGGAGAGAGGGTGTTCAGCGGGGGCCAGGCACCGGCCCCCCAGGGGACTCAAGGCCAAGCTTTGGTAGAAGCAGGGGCTCACCTGGCTGTGGACATTGGTCAGGCTTGTCTGGGTGGGCTCCAAGGGACAGCCAGGGGGATGGTAGGAACTGCTGGCTTGGCCTCTGGGGGGACAGGAGGTTTGTGAGTGTCTCCCCAGACCAGGCTGTGGGAGGCCAAGCATGTCCAGCCCCAGGACCCACTTCCAAGTACACCATTCATAGAACTTCAATCCAAAAGGGAATCACTCAGCAAAAAGACCCCAACTCTCTCCATTGGGAGGAAACTCTTGCAACACCCTGGGCAGGAGACGGCCTCTGATAGGAGCCAGGTGGCATCTAACAGCCCAGCATATACCTCACATCTTCCTGGTTACTGGACCCCCAGTGAAGTCTTCTCAACCTCTGGGCTGGGTGGAGGAGGCCAAGATGGCCAACTCCTGGTCAGTACTTCCTGACACTTTCGTCCATCACTCCTCAAAGCAGGGCCTCCATCAAAAGGTGGGGCATTGACAGGTGCCTACTGGGAGACTGGTCCCCCACTGGACCCACAAAGAGACCCCTCAGCTTCCACTGTAGGGCAGAGGCACACCTTGGAGTCAAAGTCCAAATCCCCAGGGAGCCTCCAGCCTAGTTAAAAAGACAAGATGTGGCTGAACAGGTCTACCATGGTGCCCACCCATCACCACTCAATCCCAGTACCATGGGGCTGGGCGGGATCCAGGTCCACGAGAGACCTGGGGGAGAGCGGGGGGGCGGGGGAGGCAAACTAAGGGAAGGGAGGCCTGGACTCGGTAGCCTCCGTGGTCAGAGGGGGGAATGCCCCCCCACTCTGTCCTGGGCAGCTTCTGTCCCGGTCACAGGGTCTGAAACCGGAGCCCCTGGGTGGGGGAGGGGCAGAGACTTTGGCCGGGGTTGGGGGTGAGTCCTGGGTCGAGCCAGGGTTCCGGGGCGCAGGCATCCTAGAAACTCAGGCCCCTCCTGCCCGGACGTTCCTGCAGCGGATGTTCCTGCAGCGACTTGAGGCATTGGGAATAGTTACTCACCAAGAGTCATGCGCCTCGGACGCTGCCGGCCGCGGGGCTCCAAAGGGGAGCCCGACTCCGCCCGGTGTCCGGGATCCACAATCGCGTGCGGGGGCGAAGCCCCACCCCAGGAGCCCCAGTCCAGGGGATCTGATATTCAGTCAGGATCGAGTTCTCAGGGTCAGGACCAGGGTGCCCTATGCGCGCCCCAACTTCAGGAAGTGCTGCCCCCGACCCTGGAACTTCCAGGATCCCTGCGACGCCCCGCCCCACTCCGGGTCCAGAACTTCGGGGACACGTTATCTACCTCCTGCAACCGCAGGTCCAGAGCTTAGGGGATCCTGCGCGCTGTTCCTGACTCCTGAACTTCGGGGACGCCCCTGCCACCCTTCCATCCCCGGATCCTGAATTTCGGGGTTCCCTCGCGTCGCCCCTCCACCCCAAGTCCGAAACGTCGGAGACATCTTCACAGCCTCCTCCAATGACGGGTCCGTAACTTCGGGAACCGCTCGCACTGCCCCCTCCCCGACCCCGACTTCGGAACTTCGGGGTCCCCGCGCCCTCTCAAGCCCTGGAACTTCGGGGCTCCCCCAGCTGCCCCCAGCCTCCGTATCCGGAACTTCGGGATCCCCAGCGCCCTCTCCCCTGCCCTGGAACTTCGGGGCCCCCCGCGCTCCCAGCGCTGGCTCAGCTGGCCGGGCTCACCGTGCCGGCTCTGCACCCCGCAAGTGTCCGGGCGCTAGGCGGGTGCGACCCCGCGGCGCCGAGTCCCCGCAGACGGGCGCCCCGCTCGCTCGCTGGCTCCGGGGCCCGCGCCCTCCGCGCCGCCCTCCGCGCCGCCCTCCGCACCGCCCGCGCCTTTGTCTGCGCCGCCGCCGCCGCCGCCGCCCGCGCCGTCTCCGGTCCCATCGCGGCGAGTCCCGACGCGGCCGCCGCCCGCCCCGCCTCCCCGGGCCGCCGAGGCCGCACCGCAGCACCCCCTGCCGGCGGCAGGTGGGGGGAGAGGGAGAAGGAGGGACGCGAGCAGGGAGGAAGGGGGGAGGATTGGGGAAGAGAGGTTAAGAAGGGGGCGGAAGCGGACAGGGAATAGGGCGGAGACAGAGACCTAGACCTGGAGACAGAGAGATGGAGGAGAGAGGCAGAGACACAGGAGACAGACAGACAGACCTGGGTGGACAGAGGAGAATGTGGCCTCATCCTCTCTTCAACGGGGTGGGGGGGGGGGGGCCCTGATCCTCGGGGCCTCTGCTGCTTTTGCCCGTGATGGGGAATCAGGTTCCTCTTCACCCGATGGGAGTCCAGGGGCAGGGCACATCTGCTGCCTTGGTGGGCCCAGGCGCATGCACACAGTAGTTTCTCCATGGCTGTCTCCAGGAAATGAAAGAGACCTCAGCAGAGAGGGGGCTGGTAGATGAGAGAGAGGCAAACAGTAGGCACTTAATGGGGCTTGATCCCAGGTCCCCTGCTCAGAATCCTTCCTGCCTGCTCTCCCATCTCACCCTGATCCCCAGGTTGGGGCTTCTGTCAACCTCGGGTCTTCTGTGTCCCCTAAAACAACTGTAACAATGCCGATGAGGTTGGATTAGGATTATCGTTGCTGTGTTATAGGGTCCCCAGATCCAGGTGGAGGGAATGTCAGTGTCCACTTGCCACCAAATGGGTGAATTGCCTGGAGGTCCACAGGCCCAGGTTTGCCACCTCTGGTCAGAGGGAGTCCACCCCCTTCCTACACTTGCTGGGGGAGGGTCCTTTTAGAGCCGAGCCAGGATCTCTTCTGACCCTGCCTGTGGAGCCCGCTTTTCAGTCCTGTATCTGCCCTTTCTCTGGAGACACACAGTGTCTCCAAAGTCACAGAGTGCCATCGGGTTCATGGGCAAAGGCACCGGGGCTCCTCAGAACCAAGCCCTGCACTTCCCTGAAGCTCTGACTCACATGCCAGGTTTTTGCTTTTCCTCTCTTCACCTCCTTTCCCTGTTCTTGTCTGTCTGTTTCCGCCAAAAAGAATCGCACATCTGAGCTGGTAGCTTCCTTCAAATTACCTTTAGGTGAATCCCAGGTCATGTCATTTCCAGAGACTTACTCCCAGGCCAAGATCTGAGTTTTCCTCCCTCCAGGCCTTTGCCCAAGCTGTTTCTTCTACCTAGAATGCCCTTCCCAAAGGCATATATTCTGTTTTGTCCTTCCAGGCTCAGCTCCACTGCCCCCTTGCCTCCTGGAAGCTTCTCTAACTATCCTGGGTTTGGAAGGGACATCACCCGCCCCTGTTCCACCACCCCATCCCTTTCTGTGGGATCCCTGATCTATTTATTTGTTCGACTGTGGCCAGAGCTGGCCCATCCTGGAGCCCAGCATCACTCAGCATGAGAGGTACTATCACTCCACCTAGGAAAACAGAGCTGCAGACTCAGTTTCCCCAGTTGCCTTTAACTTCACATGGCATCTGCATAAGCAAAGGATTTGGCTTCACTCTCAGGCCCGAAGCCACAAAACGCTTGAACACTGTACGGAACAAAGAAAATACCGTCTGTTCTGTGCAAAGAATGACTTTTCCTTATAACCGAAAAAAAAAAAAAAAGAAAATTCAAAAATTAAAATAAAAAAAAAGTAACTGGAAAGATGCCGGCAGAGCCAAGGCTTCTGGAAGCTGCTCAGTGTGTGCTGAGTGCTGGCTGGCTGTAGAGCTGGGGCCATGTGGCTGTTCTGTGGGGGCGGCTGGGCGAGGAGCCTGGGCAGACTTTACCCGTTATGAGGGCAGGAGGCAACTGCATGAGGGAGAATGGGTTCCCCTCTCAGGTCTCCAGGAAGGACAGGGATGTGGCTGGCCTTGAGCAGCCCTGACCTGAAGTTGTCTTAATCAAGTTCAAACTGAGGGAGTGATTTTGTCAGTGTAGACCTCAGTTTTCTCACCTGGAGAATGGGCTGATGCTTACAGGGCTGTAGGTGGTAGGAGGAGGCAGGAAGGATCCAGGCAACACCAGCAGCTTCTCACTGTCCCCTGGGTATAGATGGGTAGGGGGCTGCCCTGAGCTGCCACTACCACCCCAGCCTGAGCCCTCTTCTGCCTGGTTCTCGGGCCTGTCTTACTGTGAATGTCCTTGAGGGGCGAACAGAGGCCACCAACCCAAGGTGGCTGACTGGTAACAACAGCTTTCTCTTGGGGCTGAGGAAGGACATGAGGGAATGAGCTTCCTGTCACAGGAGGAACCAAGCAAGAAATAGAACAGCTTTTTCGGCTCTAGGGCAGCCGCATTTACAGAGTGGCTCTTAGAGGTCAGGCTCTGGCCTCTGCCTAGTTAAATCTGACCCAACCTTTGGGCTGAAGTTATATTGTTTCTCCTCCCTGGAGGGTTCCTGTCCCACCAGAGCAGGGGAGGTCTGTCATTCTTCCCCAAAGCCACATGCCCAACCTCATGGCATGAGTCACAGTGGCCACTTAGATCTGTTTAGGTCATGATTTGGTTACTGTCTGCTTCTTCCATGGCTCTGTCTCAGCACCTAGAGCAAGGCCTGACTTGCAGCAGGAACTCTGTAAATGCTTCCAGAAGGAAGGGGTCCCAAGGCCCCACCTTGGTCCTTGGTGGCCTCCAGAGTCACATGAGCCAAGGAGTGAATCCCAGCCCTGCCTCCTACCAGCAGGGTGACCTTAAAGAAGTCACTTTTCTTCCCTGCACTTTAGTTTCCCCATCTATAAAATGTGCATAAGAATGGTGCTCACTTCTGAGGTTTCCTCTAAGGCTCCAACATGTCCTGGCGTGAAGAGGGTATGACCCTAGGAGTTTAATAAATGCTTGCTGTTATAAACATTATAGTTATTCTTGGCATGTGGTTTCGACCCTGAGCCAAGTCCTTAAGATTTTCTCTTTTAGGGTTTGAAGGGTCCCAACCAGGCGTGAGCTCTTGAGAACAGAAATGGGTCCAACCTGGCATGATATCCTCTAAATCTTTAGCTCTGGGCCCTGTATGTGCCTCTCCAACCACTCTCCTTCTCCTACTCCCTCTTGCCCCAGGCTGGCTAGTTGGGCCAGCCACTAGACCTTATTCTCCTGGCAAACTCCTATTCATTCCTCAAACCCCCACCCCCCAATGCCCCCTTCTCTAAGAAGCCCTCTTTCCTCTTCTGCTGAGCCCTTCCCAACACCCTCCCTCCTTGTAGCCCAACCCTGACCCCAGGGGGTGTCTGTGTCCAGCGCTGATTCCCGCAGCCTGAGGGTATCTCAAGGGCTGGGCTGAGACCCCTCTTGGTCTTGGTATCTCCCAGCATGGGGTGGACGCATAGGGGTCATGGCAGAGGAGAGTTTGATGATTCAATATTGGTGATTTTTCTTCACTAGAAAGTGACCCCACCTAAAATTCAGATCCAATTCAATTTCTCCCCAGGGCCAAGGTTAATTCATTAAACAAACAGCTCTCAGGAAGTAATGGAACCAGACCCCCTCAGGCCCAGACATGAAGGGGCTGGTGCAGGGGGTCTGGCAATGGGTTATGGACTCAACCTCCCAGGACCAGGGCAGGTTGGGGGTTGAGGGAGGCAGCCCTTAAGCCCCCTCCAAACTTCAAATCTGGATCCGTGGTTCAGTTCCCACAGACCTAATTACCCTCATTTGCCACATGTACTAATTACCTCCGCGATACCAGGTGGCTGGGCGGGGCTGCCCCACTTTTGGGAGGTAGGTCAGGGCCTGATTATTTTTGGCTGTGTTGTCCTTGAAGGCTCCACCATCTACTCATGTGAAGGGCAGAAAGTGGGGCAGAAAAATCACGGCCACATCAGGAGGGACAATGGGAGACTTGAGAGTCAAGTTGGCCCAGGAGCTCCCTGAGCAGCGGGTTTGGGCCTAAGGACTGAGAGTCTTTGGCACCCACCTGGGGTGGCAAAACCTGAAGAGACTGAGAATCATTCATCTCTACGGTGGACTGGTCTGGAGGCCTGTTTTGAACGTGACACCATCTGTGGGAGAGGGCTTGGATTGGGGGGTAGTCAGACAGGCCTGGGTATAAATCCTGACTCACACCAACTTGATGTGTGTTCCTGGGCACATGATCCCCTCTCTCTGCACCTTTGCTGAGGGATCAGATGGGGATAATAAGTCACAAAGAGTGCTCTGGGCAGAGGCACAACATGTGCAAAGGCCCTGAGGTGGGGATGGGCTAGGTGTGTTGGAGGAACAGCAGGGAGGCCAGGGTGGTCAGAACAGAGTGAGGGAGGAGACTAAGGGGATGCTGAGGGCTAAAGGAGCCAGGTGGGAGCTCGTGGATGGCAGTGAAGTATTGAGGGTACTGGGGAGCCATGGGAGAGTTTGGAGCCAGAGAGGGAGGGATGTGATCAGATTTACACTGCAGGCTCCAGACAAGGTTTCAACTTTTTTTCTTTTTTTGGCGGGGGGGGCAGCCACGCTGTGCGGCTTGCGGGATCTTAGTTTCCTGAGCAGGGATTGAACCCAGGCCCTCAACATTGAGAGCAGGGAGTCCTAACCACTGGACTGCCAGGGAATTCCCCAGGGTTTCAACTCTTAGGAGAGAACCAGGTATCTATACACTGTGCAGAGTAGGGGCAGACCCTGACTTTCTCTGAGCCTCAGTTTCCCAATCCCAGACAGAGTCCAGAGGCTTTGGCAGCCCCAGGACACTCAGGACCCTCAGCCAGGGAATCTCCGCTTCCCCCAAGCTCCCAAATTCTGGCCAAGCAGCCCCACATGGCCTCCCCTTCACCTGCACCCTCCTCCCACTACTCTCCTTCTGTGGCCTTGAAGGAACAGCTGTGGGAACAGAGAGCAGGAGGTCTTGGGGAAGTCTGCATGGAGGGGCTCTGGGGGCAGTGTTCCTGCTTCGTGACAGCCCATGTGGGGCCGCTGGGTGCTGAATGTTCTTGCAGGAACCGGGTGACTCAGACGCTGCATCCTCCTCCCT